TCTTGAGGGAGCCTATGCTTGAGTGTGTGTTGAGCATGTTTGGGCTGTTTTTCATGCTTATATATCCATAATATAACATGATTTTAAATTGGTTTTGATACTCCATGCATGCTTAGCATAGTTGCCATGTAATGCCTTGTTTATGCCTTAATATGCTTTAGGTTGTTAGCCTTTGTTGGAGCATGTTTTAGGCTTAGACTTGTGAAGTTTTTGTGCATTCTGGTGTGTTTCTACCCTCCTCAATGTAGTTGGTTTCGATGAAGCTGGAGTCTTTCCTTCCGGAGAGCTCCAAACTACCAGTCGGAGCTCACTCAAAATGGCATAAAATGGAGCCTTACAAGGCTTAAGAGGGGTCAAACAACCCCAAAGCTTGAAACAACCTTAAACAACTATTTAGAGGGCCTAAAAACAGAACTTTTTTATGTTATATACTAAACACAAAAACAGTTGCAAGGTAGGCAAAAATACAATGCAAGAAAGGGGTAAAAAGGAGCAAGCTTCTTACCCTTGAAGACCTTCTTCAACAATGGAGCTCCAGCAGCTTCTTTCGGTTGAAACCAGCTTCAAAACCTCCAAAACAACCCTCAAGAGGCCTCAGCTCCAAGGGATGGTGTAATGGTGGGTGCTTGTGAGCAAAAGTAAGACAAAACACACACACTAAGCTCAAGAGAGAGAGAGAGAGAGAGAGATATATATGATAGATACAAATTCCTAACCCTAATATCAAAACTCTCTAAAATGTTGTCTAACCCTAATATCAAGAGAGGAGACTCTCTCTTATAGAGCTCTCTCTTGTAAAGCTTGTCAAATAAGCTTGTCAAGAGAGAGATCCCTCCATACACGTGTATGGAGGGGAGCAGAGTGGGTGCCAGCTATCACAGCTGGCACAAAATATCTACCAAAAGTAGATGAACAGTGATCGGCCATTCAAAATTGCCATTTTGGCAAAATAAATGGCCGACCGGCAAAAAAGAGTGCCGACCGGCAATATACATTGCCGATGGCACAAAATCACTGGCCGGTGGCCTCAAGCCATGGCCGGTGATGTGTGGGGATGCCTCACAAGGCATTCCCTGCCCCTCCAAGGCAAAACACAAGTGTTTGGTGCAAAACCAGACACAACACGGTCGAGTCAAGAGATCCTGAGGCAAGGCGCGCAACCGAGACCTCCGGGAACTCAAGACGAACACAAACAAGGGTAATCACCAAGTGTTCCAATAGTGACGTCCAAGTCTTGAGGACGGTCAAAAATGGGGTGTCTACACTAACCACTAACTTATATTATTATGTTATATTATCCATACATTGGGTTAGGTATATTAATATCAATAACTATCCACTCGCCACCAGGCCCGCAAGCAAATTAATAAACATTACAATAAACACATTTTCACCCATATATTGAGCCTGGTATATTAATACCAATAACCATCCACTTGCCATCATGCCCACAAACAAATCAATAAACATCACAATCAACACATTCTCATCTCCATAAGCAATAAAATTAATAAACTGATGAACCAATCATTCCAAAAATCAAAACACATGCACTCCAACAATTTTAAGCATATACATGAAAAACAGTACTGAAAGGGCGATATAAGGTGCCTAACCCGTTCCCGACTCGTAACAGAAAACTCCCGAACTCATCTTTGATCCATGCAGGCCATTAATAAGAGTTATTAAAATAAAACGGACCCCACATTCGTAAACAAAAAATATAAAAATATTGGCTCATTAAAAGTCTGTTTTTTGGGTGGCCTAACACACCTAAACTCCATGTTAGGTGGCTACTACAAGCAAATCTTTCAACGGTTGGAACAAAACAATAAAATTAAATACTATTTCAAATGTTGCTCATAAACTATTAAAAGTGAAAATTTAGGTGCGACACAAATACGTCGAAATTCCTTTGGTGTGATGGAGCAAACGAGGGAATAGAGTGCATTTTTATTCCAACTAGCATTTTGATAATCATTCGTGTTCCATTTATCAATTGGTTTGGGAATTGTGACATCTTCAATTGTCACCATAGGTTCACTCCACCTATAGATGATGGAATGCCAAACTTTCTCATCATTGGATTTTAAAAAAACCCTCATCCGAACCTTCTAATAAGAGTAGTTTGTTCCATCAAGTAAGGGAGGACGTTGAGTGGAGTTACCCTCATGAACTGAATCCATTATAAAAAAATCACACAAAATCACACTCCTATAGCTTTGAAAAAAAAACAAGATCGAAGAGTAAGAGTCCCGCTCTGATATCAATTGAAAAACCTAGTTATGTGATTCAAGCACTATAACATAGATTTAATCCATACAAAAAATTCCAAACAAGAAACAATCTAAATCAACAAGCAAATATCGAGAGTGATTTATGTAACTTCACAATTGAGAAATCAACATGAAAGATTTAACGTGGAAAAAACCACAATTGGAGCACCTCCAATTACCCAACAAATCTGCGGTTGACTTGTCCTCAACTCTTAGTGCTACTTCCATCAACATCTTCATCCCCAAATTGCTCCAACTAATGTTAAATCCACAATGCTGATATTGAATCCACGTCGATGAGTAGTTTCGAACTCGTTCAACGCCTCTAAGCTCTAACCCTTCGAAATATACCAATGAAGCTCTAGAAAGGTGGAATCATAGCAAGCCACTTGACATGTACCCGACTAAACCATGAGATGCGACAATCTCAATCAACCGTTAAGGGAACACTCTAAAAAGAACACTGTTTTTTATGGGTCTTCAAAGAGAAAGCTGGAAGGGATAAACCCCGATATAGCATCTGAGGTGGTTTTTTTTTTTTTTTTAAAACCAAAGTAGCATAGACCGCTCAAGTGCAAGTAATCTCGATTGAGCGGTATGCCTAGAGCGGCGTGGCAACAAACCGTAAAAGGCAATGATGTGACATGTGTAACATAATCTTCGCACGAGCTAGAATGACCGCTCAAGCGAAGAATCAAAACTTGACTAGAGTGGTCCATGTGTAACAGTTTCTTAGTTATCATGCTTGAGATAGTAGAAGACTCAAAACTTTGCTCGAGCGCATCTTTGGTCACTTGAGCAGTCTATGAACGTTTACACAAGTAATCAAAAGGCACAAATGGCACAACCAACCAATAGTTCAACTCAAATGTGTTTGTCAAACGGGATTACCAACACAAGCGACCTAACAAGTTTGAGACTTGTAAAATGTAACTTCAATAATAAACTTCTCTCAATTTTTTATTTATGCATGGATGTTATGTATGCTTATAACAGGATAGGGTGGCTCCATTGAGGCAATGAGGTTGTTATTACCGAATTGCCTAGATTTCGTAAACTCCTTTGTTTTATGTATGAAAATGCATATCTCATTTCTCAACTCAAAGACTTCTGAACGTTTTGATAAACATCAGTTCTAAGAACTATTTATACCTTACTTTTTGACTTGATATTTTAATCTGGTGAAATACATGACTTTCTTGAAAACCTTTCCAATGTAAGCGTGACACTCATTAAATGAATAGTTTTGAATTAATTAATTAATGTTTTCGAAAATCAGGATATGATAGTATAGTAGGATTAACTTTTATGTGTAACTTTTTTATTTTTAGAAGATAATTTTTTTTTTTTTTTTTTTGTGAGGTAAATTTATCCACAATATTTCACCATAAATTTTGGCACGTTAACCATTGGACAAGTCAAAAATTATTCTAGCAATTAAGTGATAAAGCGATCTATTTTGGTATTTATCCATGGTTTGTAAAAAAGAAGAATTTGACATGGTAAAAGGTCAAAGGTCAAAGATATGACTGTACTACGCATCACGTTTCAAAATAGTGACAAAATATGATTCTATTAGAGTCAAATTCCTATTTTGTGGATCCATGCCCTATCTAAATAAAGTAAATGCTAAAATCATTATAGTACAATGGTTGGCACAAAAAATAGCGGACGACAAACACTATAAAATTTTATCATAGAGACTTTTCAACTGCTCATCCTCCTCCTTATTGAGCCAATTCATCCTGTAATAAATCATGGCAAGACCTTCCCTTCGATTGCTTTCCCTAACCCTCTTTATCTTGTATAGTGCTGATATTACCAAGTCCACTGTCCCGACAAATTTCATCGAGGCCTCGTGTAGTGCCACCCGCCATCCAGAGTTATGTGTTAAATCTCTCTCGATCCATGCCAATGCTATCCAAAAAAACCCATACATATTGACCCAAACTGCCTTGACGGTGAGCTTGGCATTAGCTGAATCCACAAAGGCAAACATGTTGAAGTTGACCAGCATTAAGGGACTCAAGGCCCCTGAGTATGGGGCCTTAAAGGATTGTTTGGATCAGATTGATGATAGCGTGGACCGACTTAGCCAATCAATACGAGAGATAGAGAAATTGAGCGAAGCTCAAGGTGAGGATTTCATGTGGCACAAGAGCAATGTCCAAACTTGGAGCAGTTCTGCGCTAACTGATATAAAAACTTGCGAAGAGGGGTTCTCAGGACAGACTTTGGATGGAAAAATTAAGGCTTCGGTACAAGGACAAGTTACTAATGTTGAGCAACTTATTAGCAATGCACTAGCATTAATTAAACAATGTGAAGCCAAACATTGAACCATTACCATTGCTGTTACACAAATTATGGGGCAATATGTGAGAACGAGAAATTTTATAGCTAAATAAGAAAATAATAATTATTGGTTCATTGTGATACTTAATCATTTTTCCTTTTGTTACTTCTTGGTGTTAGTAGTACTTTAACCCAAGAAGAAATCCAAAGAATTTTCTTTTATTTTGTTGGTAAATAAAAGGTAAATTTGAATTTAGCCTATTGTTTGTATTGTTAAACCAATCCAAATTGTAGAATCCTCAAATTCAATAAATACTTATACTTAATGTAAACAGTGAGCAATTTTTCTAATCCTTTCTTTCTTTCTTTCTTTTTTTATTTTTTCGTTGTTCTTTTGAATGGACGATATATTGAGAGGGCTTTCATAATCCAAAACGCAAGACAACTGTGAATGCGTGAATTAGCTGTTTATGAAATATAACCAAAATTATAGATGTTCAAGTTGAACAATTTCGGATAGATGCAAAATCAAAGTTAAAGATAGCATCATCTTGTCTTTTCTTTAATTCGACATATGTAGTGTTGGAAATTGGGTTGGGTATCGGATCCGAATTTGGGCACCCATGTGGCATGACGCATGACCCATTCAAATTACCCATGTAATTTGAATTTGAATTTTTAATTATCCTATTTGTTAGGATAACCCACTATCTATCTACATCTATCCTATCCTATTAGGAGATATGGATAGATGGTTATATATCTAATCTATATATATTATATCAGATACGTTATGTAGAGTGAAATCCATAACATTTTTCTCATACTGTCTCTCTAAATCTCTCCCATCAGAGAACAATGAAGCCTTTGCACTGTGACTAGAGTGGGTGGTACCCATACTGTGGTATCACTCCATTACTAGGTGTTTTGTTCGTTGTTGTGAAGCACGGGATTTACTCACAAGATTCTTTGCTTCGGATTCATTCACATAAGGTATGTTGAATATTTGTTTATTTGTTGTATTATATATATCCGACATTGGTATCAAAGCCTTCAGAAGGTATTTTCGTGCTTATTTTTGTGCATTAAAATATGTATATAACTATCGATATATGTATACATGATATATGCATGAAAATTAATTTTTTTTTAAACTTTCTCCGATGCCTGTAAGGCATTTTATTCAATGTTACATGTAATGCTTTATTTAGTAATACTCTGATGAATGAATTAACGTATTGTCTTCTTTAAGTAATGCTTGTCAATGATATATATAATGGGTTATTTTTGAGGGCGTTACAGAACATATCTGCAAAGTTTCATGAAAATCAAATGGTTAAATTTCAAGAAAAATGGAGACCCATTTTATATTTCCGAAACTTTACTTGCATGATTGTTTTACATGCGTTAATTTTAGTGTACAAATCTTACATATTTATAATCCTTGTTTCGAGACCTTTGAAATCATATATTATTTGTTAGATTTGGACTTACGGTTGATGAGAAAACTCAAACCTTAAATTGTGTCCTTTGTGAGTTCTTGGTGACTTGAGGAAGAAGATGAAGTGCATAATTTCTGCACGTCCACTCTCACTAGAGAGAGCGTGTAATATACCCTATCATTTGTGTTTATTAAATGTCAATTTTGAGACCACCATTGTTTTTATTTTTGAAAATAGAGTCTGGCAGTACCAAAATCAGACCAAAAGTCATCTCGGAAGGCAGCGCATGCACTTCACGCGCTGAATGACGCCACCAACGCTCGCCATGCGTTCCACCCACTCGCATGCGCCTCGCGCCGCCCACGTGTGCACCACGTGTGCTGCCACACGCGAGCCATGCACTACACTGAGTCGAGCCGCGCTGTTTTACATACCGACTTGGCTATTCGATGGTAAGGCTCTGTTTGTTTGTTTGTTTGTTTTTTTTTTAAATTCTAAAATACTTTAAATCGTCGTAAGTAATTCGTTGTAGTCTTGCTCTTAGCGTGGTTAGTACTATCGGGCTTAGAATTAAATTTTTTTTATCTACTATAAAATTTTCAAAGTTTTATGAAAATAAAAATATTTTTTTCTGAGATAATAATTAATTATTTCTGCTTTAAAATGCTTCTGGTGTTGCATGACTAAGTTTCTGAAGCTGAAATTTTTGTTGAAGACTACTGTAATGGTATACTATTTAGTGGTATGATTGTTGCACTTTCCCAGATTCTGGAAAATTTATTTCTAATTTTTTGTATGTTCATTAATTATTTAAAAGTTATGAAAATTCCAAAAGTTACATATTTTCTGTTATTCATAATTTGAATACTAAACACAACATATTGTTGTTTTTTCCCTAAAGTTTCTAATATGTTGTGATTAGAATAGCATGTTTATTTATTTATTTAAATTTTATTATTAAATGAAACATAGCATGAGTTGATTGTAAATTTACATTAAGATGCTATTGTATGGAATTAGACTAATTATCATGCTTTATACATGCCATAAGTAGTGGGAGGTTATTCTTTGTGAATGGAATTAAATTAAATTTTGATAATTATCACTGGAGGTGCAAGAGATGATTATGAGCATAACAAATTTTTGATCTTGAGATGTGTGTAACATTATCATTATTGAATTTAGATTCTTTTGCTGCATTAATTTTGTGTTGCTAACATTAATATCCACTGCGCATTTGTTCTTCTTTTACTCTGTATGTAGAAATGGCAGCTAAGACAGTTGTGGCAGACTTAACTAAGGGAGAGAAATTGGATGGTGATACCTATGACATATGGCACTATAAGATCCAATATCTCCTCAATGAGCAAGAAGTTTTGAACAGACTTGACCAAGTGATAGTTGAGCTTGAGCAGGGCAATACAACTCAACATCGTCGTGATCTCGAAATCTATCAAACTTGGCGTAACAAAGATCGATGTGCGTGTCTTACCCTGTTGAGAAACATGCACAATGACTTGATTAGTGAGTTTGAGCATTGTCTCACTGCATTTGAGATGTGGGAAGCCCTCAAGCAAAAATTTGGTGTCACCTCTTTGGGAAAGCTACGTGGGCTGACTATGAAGTTTGACTCTTCTCAGAAAAAGGCACATCACTCTATGAAGCAGCATTTGAGGGTCAAGTCAGCCATGGTACGTGAGCTGGCGGCTGTTGGGCACAATTTGACTCAAGAGCAATAAGTTCAAGCTGTCATTCGCTCTCTGCCAATTTCTTGGGAGCATATAAAGCAGAACATGATGCATAATGAGAGTGTGAAAACATTCGAGGACATATCGCATCATTTGGAGCTAGTGGCTAAGCACCTACAGACGGCTAAGTCTGATGGTTTTGCTATGGTGGTTGAGTCATGCTCACGTAAGACTTCTCAGTTCAAGCATGGAAAAGCAAATGGAGCTCCCAAGAAGTAAGCAGCAATTGTGCTAAAGCCCAATGGAGGTGGTAAGAATGTAAAAGCTAAACTGTCATGCTTTAATTGTAATAAAGAAGGACACTTCGCTCGGGATTGCCTTGAGCAGAAAAAGGTACTCCCTTACTTAATTTCTTGCATTCAATGCTTTGTTTCTAGTCAAGCATTAATTGCTCATTCTCCTCATTTTTGGCTTATAGACATAGGAGCAACATGTCACATCATGAGGAACAGAATAGGGTTCGGTGAGTATCGCCGAGTACTTGCTAGGAGCAGAAAAGTTTACATGGGAAACGAGTCCAGTGTGGAGGTGCTTGGCATCGGCACATACAAGCGAAAAATGCGACGAGGGTGCACCTTGTATCGTCATGATGTTCTTTATGCTCCGAATATTCAGCGAAACTTAGTTTCAGTTATTAGCATGATGAGTCTTGGTTTTAGCTTTTGTTTTGAGAATAATGATGTTAACATTTATTTGGGTACAATTTTTTATGGTTTGGTTTTCTTTTGGATGGTTTCTTAGTATTGGATGTGGATGATTCTAGTTTTAATAATAATGTCAATGGCTCTGTTTCTTATATTGCATCTATGTGTGATAATGATTCCATGAGATGGCATGCTAGATTAGGCCACATAGGGCAATATAGGATGACTAAATTGGCTAGAGAATGCCTTTTAGGTCCACTCGCTAGAGTCACTTTGCCTACTTGTGAGCACTGTCTTGCTGGAAAGGTAATAAGGAAACCATTTAGGAAAGCCAAAAGGGCATCTGTTCCATTACAGCTTATTCATTCTAATATATGTGGACCAATGAATGTGAGGGAAAGGCATGGAGCCTGTTATCTTATCACATTTACAGATGATTGCACGTGTTTTGGCCATGTCTATTTGATTTCTCACAAGTCAGAAGCATTAGATTGCTTCAGACGGTATGTTAATCTGGTTGAGAATCAATTAGACAAGAGCATTAAGGCTTTTAGGACTGATCGAGGACGCAAGTATCTATCTGAGCAATTTAAAGTGCTCTATGAAGAAAAAGGAATTATCAGGCAATTAACAATTCTTGGGACTCCACAGCAAAATGGTGTAGCAGAGAGAAGGAATCTCACATTACATGACATGGTTAGATCTATGACGGCGCAAGCTAATCTTCTAATTTCTTATTAGAGAGATGCTTTGTTAATTGCTGCCTACATCCTTAACCGTGTGCCCTCCAAATCGGTTCCTTCCACCCCATATGAGATATGGACTGGCGAAAAGCTTGATATGGGCAATTTACGGCCTTGGGGTTTGGCAGCTTACATACACAATGTTTCTCATAAGTTTGGGAAGTTGAGCCCTAGAGGAAATAAGTGTATCTTCATTCACTATAGTGAGCATTCTAAGGGCTATTTGTTTATTGGGGAGCATCCGGATAGAAGTGTGACTTAAATTAAATCACGAGACATGAATTTCCTAGAGGAGGATTTCCCTAACAAAGGTGAGGTAACTAGAGATGTAGAGCTCTATGAGATAGAGGATCTATATGACGGCGCACCTAGTAGCCTAGTAGAGAATGAGGAAATAATCCCTCAAGCTCCTAGGGACAATGCAAGCGATTTACCTGTCCATGGATTAAATCCAAAGGATGAGGATTCTCAGGACTCTCAACTGCGTAGAAGCAAACATGGAGCTATACCCCATCGTCATTTTGAGATTGAAGGGGAGGCATTCATGATTGCTCCGAGTGATGACATAGAGCCTAAGAATCTAAAAGAGGCTCTCTCATCCCCCGCTAGTAAAGAATGGAGTGCTACAAGGGATGAAGAAATGAAGTCTATGAAAAAAAATCATGTCTGGGACTTGGTTGATTTGCCGCTAGGGCACAAGACTATTGGGAACAAATGGGTTCTCAAAGTCAAGTGCAATGCGGATGGTTCCATAG